CACACACACAAACACACAGGCACACACGCAGCCCCCTCCCTGCCTCCACCGGTCTGTTCCTACACCTGTTCAGGCCTCCACCAGGGACATGTTAATTCATAGGCATTAAAAAAGCCAATTGTTTGCAAAACCGATAATCTATTAGCCCTCAGGCAGTGTGTGTCCACTCTCTTGCCTTGCCTAGGAATGAGAAATTCTGGCCTGGACCACATAGGCTTCCACTTAATCTTTGAGCATATATAAGTCTATTTTCTTGCCAGTCTCCTGGTAGTGTAGAGCCTACTATACAGTCTTATAAAAAATACTGTATTATTGAATGCTTTAATGCTGTCAGCATCATGGAATAAAATATAATTCTGTCAAAAATGCATGTATGTATCTAAAGTGCAGAATATAAAATAACTAACTGATAGTATCAAGCTTCTTTTTCTGCCTTTTGTTACGTTATAGAAGTGAAAGCAAAGAACAGCAGCATTGATGCCTTGCCAAGAGGGATTAGAGTTGTATGACAGCTATATGGGATATCTACAGTACATCTGAGCGTGGTATAAAATTGAGATGCAGCTCTGTAGGCGTATGGTAAAACGCAGGGCATCAAAAAGCTGATTGAATCGCAACACTCTCTCAACACTCACCCTGCCTGATATACAACATAACAAGTCACTGGAGACAGCACACAGAAACACACTTGGCTGCAGCGCTGTCATAAATGCCATCTTCCTCACACACAGGAAAAAAAGTAGGAGACGAGTGATGGAGAGAATTAAAAAGATGGAAAACAAAGGGATCTTGTGTCTCCCTTACCATCGTCTCGTTTCCTCTTCTCGCCGTTGGAGCGGGGGATACCCAGAATGCCGTTGATGGAGTAGGATCCTACGGGATCGTTGGAAGCGCTGGTCACAGGGGGCGAGGCTGTGCTGGGCACTGATGGAGAAAACTGAGTTAGTGTGTGTGTACAGTATGTGTGTTGTTTGTGTTTTTATTCAGATGCACATGTGTGAAAATGCTTGTCATGGTCAGGTGTTTTCTTTCTAGGTTCCTTCTGTTTCAGCAGCCCTGATTGGCTTATTTGACTGTGCTTTATTCTGTGTGTGGCCTCATTCGTGCTCACCTATAGTGTGGCCCGGCGTGGAGAGCGGCGTAACGGATCCGTCAGGGGACGGGTGGAATGGCTGCTGGACTTTGGTGCGGATAATCCTGGTAAAGTGAACAACAGACACGGATCAATCAATACTTCTTCCAGAGCATGGAGATTTCACACCAGCCCAGTCGCCACCCCGGGACACTTAAACACGGCACTCCAGGTCCACTACATCCGTGCATGTACAAGTGCTCCATCGTTTGGGCCGCTTGTATCCTCATATTCAGGCCCCTGTCACAAATAGCCAATCTCAGGGCTTTAAGGGCAATCTCTCTTCTCCTGTGTGAGGCTGAATAGTGGCTGCCCCCTGAGATTGTGGATTCAATCTAGCTGGATTCTGAGGTTAGAAATATGATAAAGTCTCCATACCAGTAAGATGTGATGTGGCGGGAAAGTCTTCATTGCACTTTGGTCTGAATGATCTTGCAAACAAAGCATGAAATCACATCAATTCACCTCAATGATCAGCTTCACTGGCTCTACCTGGCCAACTCTAATAATCTCCCTCTCTTCTGCTCCCCACTCCCTCTTTTCTCCTCGCTCTCTCTTTCTCTCTCCATCTCTCAAACCTGATCTTTCCCTCCTCTCTCCCCCAACCTCATCCCCTTTTTCTCATTTCTACTCCACTGTCAAATGTGCTTTCTGTTTTACTGTACTTTACGATGTCTGTCCTTCTTTCCATCTCTCTTTTCCTTCTTTCCCTCTTTACTCTTCTCCAATTCATTTCTTTATTCCCCCCATGTACTCTCTGTCACCTCTCTGGTGTCTGCTGTAGTTTTTCGGTCTTTTTGTTGCTCAGTGTAGCACACAGGGATCCTCTAGGCTCACTGAGGATCAGAGCTTATTGATTGAGACTGTGGGATAGAAAAGTTGACGACGAATCGCAGCGAGGAACAGCAAATGCAAATGGTGATCTATAAATTATATGTGACAGAAAAGCAATAGTGTCTTATTGGCCCAACCTGAGACCACTGCCATATCCAATGTATTTTAATCTGTGCTGCACTTTGAAATAATTATCTAAAAAATAACTGGTATCACAATAATCTGAAAATTTTAAAGATGGCAAAATTAGAGGTTCTCAGAGATAATATTTAATTTGTACATTTGTGGATTTATGTCATTCTTTGAGCAAAACAGAAAAGTACAGTGGGATTTACACAAGCTCAGCCTCAGCTCTTATGGGACATGATCGCATTACATTAAACCATGACTATGGTAATCTTTTGATTGACAGACGAACGTGAGATCATTGAATAACAGGAAGCGTTGTGTACCGACAGAAATCCCACATGGAAGCCCTCTCGCTTGAGAGGTGTGACAAAAACAGACTTTTACAGACTGCAGATGAGGCGAATGGTGTTTACATGTGCATGCAGCATCCAGCAATGAGCTATCAATTCTGAATCAGGCAGCTACGGGGTTAACTTCCTCAGGGGCAAAAATGTACATCAGACTGTTTTCATTCCCCTCACTATCTCATGTGTCCTCCATACTCTCTCCTTCAGGCAGGGCAACAAAGGCTAGCAGCCTCCTCCAGAAATCACACATCAATATTTTATTTGAATTTCTAACATCTCACCACAACAGTTATCTGACCTCATGACTCGAGGGAGCCTCATAAATTCAAGGACTTTGTTTCAAGTCTATGTTGTTGATATTGAATAAGCAATTTGGATGGGTGAATTAACGACTTTGGTGTTTGGGTGTTGTAAAAAAAAATATCTCCAAAGAAAGATTAAAATGTGGATCAATATGATTGAAAGCCGCTTAGGACCTTATGGGTATGCCTCTGTCCACTGGCCATGGTGCAGCCGGTGGAAACTCCTCTCTGCGGCAACAAAACAAAGTGCAACCCAGTCTCTGTGTAATCTTTAATAATTCATGCAGGAAAAATGTGTTTAAAGCCAGGACATCCTCTTTAGTCAACAGAGTAGAGGTCAGCCCTTTAACCACAGAGACCACCAGGGGTCCACTGTCTCTTTCACTCTCTTTCTCCTCCACATATTTCCCAGTCCTCCCTTGAAGACCAACAGTAAGAAACAACAATAGGCGTTTAAAATAGGCTGTAATGTAAAAAATTATTTCTGGAGTTTTTTTTTATTATAAACATTTGAAAATTGTTAATACTGCAAAATAAATATAAATTAACCTTTTTTTCTATGCGTATATACATTTTGGGGAATAAAACCTGCTTATTTTTATGCTGTGATTTGTGAGCTCATGCTTTAAGAATAGAAATGCAGTTATGTGCTTTGTAACAAGGTCTGATGTTAATTATTAATATGCAGGTTAACTTAGTTTCACAATTTCTCCTAATGTTGCGGTTCCACACAGCTCAAATCAAGCAGATTCTCAGAAATGTTTCCTAATAATATAACAAATAAAATATTGCCTCCTCTCACCCTTGGACGTGGTTTCCTTGGTTTTATGAACAACAGGTGAAAACAGCGAACGGCGCCAAACGACCTGTTGAAACCATTTCCATGGTAGCCTCATTTTAGAATATTTCTTTCTATTTTTTTTTGTAACAGATTCATCCATCTTCTGCATTTAGCTGGCTGTGTTATGAGACTCTCTTCAGCTCATTAAAATGTAATGCCGATGACCAGCTCTCTGGAACAGTGCCTCCTAACCAAAGTTCATCACTTGCAGGCACTATGGGGCTTTTTTCACTTTGCGCACATGCAGTGGGGCTTTTCGTCCTCTGTCTAAAGACACTTTGTTCACTGCTGTCCCGCTTCATGTGGAAAGGTGAAGGTGTAGGGTGTCTGCTGTTTTAGCTGCTTCAGTGGAACAGAAACTCTTTTATAGTCCATTTACCCACAAATCAACACTGTTTTAGGACAGCAATTTGTTTTAGTCAATAATTTTCTAGATGTATTTCGCTTATACCCTACTGTAATTAAACCGAATAATGGTAATAATAATTATAATAATGATAATAATAAACTACATAAATAACAATGTGTGGTTAAAACCGGAATAATTTACAATTATCCAACCACACTACAAGCCTAAATGTGTGATCTGTTGTCGCTCCACATTCAACTCGGTGTTGGAAAACAGAGCAATTGGTTGGCAATAAAGAGGCTGCTGCCGCCTCTGTCGCAGTGTGGTCCGCGTATTGAACGACTTTGTTGGGTATTTCCCTTTGCCTCTGGATCTGGTTACGCGGTATTGATCGGTTTTTATCGAGACAGATGTGATTCTTCGTGGCCCCAGCCTCAGTCCCCGTGCTGGCTGTGTTGTGGAGGGCCGCACAGGGGATTGAATTGCACTTGTGAGACCACCCCGGATAGGCTCGGCTGGAATTGACTATAGCTCAGCCTTGTATGTGAAGATAAAAGAGCGATCTGCTTATTTTAGAGCTGATTTTTCTCATTTACGCGTGGAGTTTTTCCTCTTCTGATTTTCCCTAGTTGCCTCACTTGAACATTTTCTCTTACATGCACACATTTAGATATAAATAAAACGGGTATTTCTTAGAAAGATTTTACGCGCTTTGGAACAATTCGGCATGCTTTTTTATGATATAATAAAATGAAAAACTGTTATTTCCACCTACCTGTTGATGGATGACACGCTGGGAACTGTGTCGTTGTCGCAGACGGCCTCAGCCAATAGTCGGTCCCTTATCTCCCAAGCGAACATGGTTGGATTCTGGCGCTTATATTCAGCAATTTTATCCACCACTTTCGGAGTTGCAACCTTTGGTTTGGAGCCACCAATGACTCCGGGTTTAATACTGCCGGTTTCATAGTACCTGCATGGGGACAGAGTGAGTGTTCCTGAATGGATCCCTCCTTAATTCAACAATCCAGTCTGATTGATGGGAAAGGTGGCTTTAAAACAATCGTTTGTGTGGAAACAAATCTCCGCCGACCTTCTGCAGTTACATGTACGGCAAAAAAAATAAATAAAAAAAACCCTACAAATATGATGGCGGCTTTGATCTATTAATTGGTCTAGAAGTGTGCTGTTGTGTATGGGCCTAATTGAGTGTCAGCTGGAAGGTGAACAGAGCGGATTTTAAACGAAAAGCAGTGTAATTAAAATCACACAATATAAGCAGTGAGACGGACAGAACAAAGGACAGTTTAGCTGTTAAAGCACAGTTTAGACCTCATTTCCAGTCTCCATGAGCTTACAGTAGCATGCACGACATGCCACCATGACCTATTGGTAAATGTTGGTGACAAACATTCAGTGTGTGTGAAATGAAATACCTCTGAAATGCCTTCTGATAGCTGAAAAAAATATATTTCAAAATATTATCTCACAGCATTTGTGCTCTGAAGTAAAATGATGTAGACCTAATTTCTCAGGTTTAAAGTAGACTTTACACTGATGAAAAAATGTAGGAACTTAAATATGTATTTATGGTATTTTTTTATAATGGATTATGACACTCAAAGGTGAGTTTATAGTGGCCGCAGAGTGTGGTGTTTTTCTTAACCTGCGAGTAATATTCCAATTTGTATCTGTAGACCTGAAAAGTCAGTTTTCAGGTGACCCCCATGGTACTTTATACACTTTCTTTATCACCTACAGTCTCCTACAATATTAATATAGCCTCATATTCCTCTGGGATATTTTGTATCCTTAATGTTTAGCTGTAAACTCTCCTCCTTAAATTTATTTCATGATTATGATGCTTTTCTCTTGCAAGGCTGCAGGTGATGGATAGAAAATCTCACACGCAGAACTGCTGTGTTCAAGCAAAAAATAAAATAAAAAATAAAGAAAAGAGAGAAAGAAAGAAAAAAATGACCTGCCTATATAACCGATGACTGAGGCTGAAATAGAGCTGGGTGCGCATATACGAGCTATAGAAGATTGATGTTTGACACACATAGGGCTCTGTTGGTGGTGGATCCCCTCCTTTTACCTGCCGAGAATTTTGCTGACACAGCCGTGACTGACCCGTAGCTGTCTGGAGATGTCGCAGGGCCGGACGCCCTGGTGGGCCAGCTCCACGATCCGCTGCCTCACCACGTCCGGGAGGGGTCTGCCGTTGACGAACACCCCGCCGAGCTGGTTTACACCGCCGTGCCCTGCGTGGGACACAACAGCAGCACAGGGGAGCATAACATTACATACCTGCAGAGGACACGGTTTCTCTTCCTGTGAACTCATTTTAGTTTTTTCTAGGAGAGAACTATGTGTTTTATTTTTAGTCTAAAAGGTTAAACCACATTACTGTTAACATACACACGTACAGTACAATGTACATTTATATACACACACATTTTAATTATGGCTAACAGTCTTTGTTTCTGCATTAATTCTGAAGTACTTTTAATTTGTAGAGGGATTTGAAATAATAATAATAATAATAATAATAATAATAATTATAACAAGGTAATTTAGTATAGGGTAAATCAGGAAACTGAAGCAGTCTGGGGGTAAAATTCAAGTACCACTGTATTGCTTTTAAACAGGGATAATATAAACAAAATAAAACGAGCAACATTAAATATTTAAGTAAATACACCTCACACAATTGAGAGCCAAAAATGAAAATAAAACTCCTCTCCCCTGTAACATTGGCCTGGTTAGGCAATTTTTTCCAAGAGCATCTCCTTCACTGCAGCCTAACACATGTCGCAGATATTATGTTTCAACCTGTTTAATTTTCCTTGCACAATTATTGTAAATAATTAAAACGAGCTTTGATAACTCATATTACAAACGCGAATGGTGCGAATGAGGAGGAATAAATAATTTACACACAGCCCGGGTTTTCTTTACCCATATCGTATGGAGGAAAACATGAGGAAAAAAACATGAGGAAAATGAAACAGATAGAGCAACTGCTTCATTTTTCAGCCCCAGTTTTATTGTGAACCACCTAAATCTAAAGTGAGGGATGGCAGATAAAGTGACACGTTTACATCAATTTACACACAGCGTCCTCTTGTCTCTCTGTCATTTCACAGGCAATAAAAGCTTTGTATTTAAATTGGGCAGTTTCTATTTTGTCACTTAAAAGTAAATGTGGCTCAAACAAGCCCAGATTTCTCATTTTGATGAACCTTTGAGTCAATAAAGCTTTACAGGAAAAAAATAAAAGTAATAACAAAACTCCTCAGTGACCCATGTGCTCTTGAAAATAACCTAGGAATGTTTCTGTTTTAAAACATTTTAGCATCATGTTTGTCTCTGCATCTTATCCTCCTTTTTTATTATTATTAAACTTAACGCAACTCTATCTATTTAAAAAAAAAAAAACTCTTCTGGCAAAACTTTGCCAATGTTTTTTGAATAAAAAAAGGGTTTTGGAAAATTTACTTAAGATACTAACCTATTTAATATTTGAGAGCTCTTCATTAAAGTAGTAAAACGGTGGATTTCAAATGAAAAAATAATTTATAAGAGCATATTTAAAAATGTCTTTCTGCTTGATTCTGCGTCAGATGCAAACATCTTCGATCCAATTTGCGCAGGAAACAAAGTCACAACACATACATGTTGTTGTCTATAAACTTATTCAGTATACTCACGGTGCATCGCCGAGAAGGGGTCTGCTTTGCAGTGAATATCCATCGGATAGCAAAGGAAAGAAAGGTAATCGACTGAGGTCGCCGTTTCGCCTCTGTTGTGCAGCTATGTAGGAGTAAAAAAAACAAGGACGGATATTTTGGTGTAAAACAGTCCGTGTGGGCAGAGTCCGCGGGCTGCAGCAGTCAGCAACTTCTTGGGGGCGATGCTAAGTTTTTCCTCCTGTTCGAGTCTAAAGTCAGAAGTCTGCAGAGGGGCTGTCAGGTGCAGAGCATGACCCACGCGTGTGCAGAGCGCACCAGTCGCAGCAACATTGACTCAAACCGGGTCACTGTTTGTGTTTAAAGGACATCATGAGGGAAAACCAAAAGGAGTAGCTGGAGTGTCCACGGGTCCGCTCGGAATATCTGCGGCCGGAAAAATCCTTCTCCTCTGACGGCGTGGAGGAGCGGCGGGCTCTGTGGTTTAATCAGATAGGGGCGGAGATGACAACAACATGGACACGGCGAAGTACAGAGCAGTGTGTCCCCCTCTCCTCCAGAATGGGCTGTGCCTGAGCGAAGCTTTGGGCTGAGAATGAAACCCCTCTCCTTGTGTGTCTGTTTCTAAAAGCTGCAGTCCCACAGATCACCCCCACCCCCCTCCTCCCTCCTACCTCCATCCCACAGATCCCTCGCATAGAGATGGATGACTTGTCAGACAAAGGCAATAGATTCCAACACTTTGTGATTCGCCCACGTAAAAACCTGCAGCTCAAATGAGGAGGTCCCTGCATCCGACAGCCAGGAAGGGGAGGGAGACGAAATGGGAAATGATGAGACTTTGGGGTGAAGAATCAAGGAAATTAAAGGCAGGGGGTAGAAGAGAGGTAAAGCACTGTCAGGATGGTGTGTGTTGTTTCCAGCGACACTTCTCAAATGTTTTGAAGTAGAGACACACGATGGGACTTTGACTTAGGGATGCACACATGGGAGTGTTTTTGTTGTTGGCACTACATTTTTAAAGTGATATTTAACAGCATAAAATAAGATATTTAAAACAATCAAGAATATACTTTCTCTACATTTTATTGTAAATGAAATAATAATAACATGTAAATATGTGTGACTTTGCTGTGGACCTCTAAGCTCTTAAAGACCCCTGGCGGCCCAGTAGCCCACTTTTTGTGCTCCTGGTTCAAAGTGTAAAATCTCAATGTCACAGCTTAGTTGTTGTTTTTTTTGTTTTTTTTTTACAAATATGAAACAGAAATAGGATCAGTCTCTATAAAAATCTCTTCTATTTTTACCACATGCCACCACATGCTTCTCTGTGCATTATTTCTCCTTGCTTCCTGTTCTTCAATGAATCAGAAAACAATCTGAAAGAAATGTATTCTTTCTCTTTGCGTGCAAAACCAAATGTCCACTTACTAAATATCTGCTGTGCTTCATGTCCTGACTGTATTTATCTGCCTGTGGTCAGACAGCGAGGTGTGCAAGGTGAGCTCGCAGCCTGCAGAGGGAGAGTCAGTCAGTAGGCCATCATTATCATCATCATCATCATCATCATCACCATCATCATCCACTCACCGCCTGTGTGCAGCATCGCTCTGTAGATGGCGCTCATACAGTAGGTTACACAGCCCACTGTGCTCATGCAGGCAGTCGGGCAGGTAGGCTGATGTTGCTGGGGCTGGCCGGGTCAA